GGATCCTATCACAAGTTAAATTTTTGTTAATTGTAAATAGAATGAATCTATTCCAAAAATTGGCATCTCAAATATTTTCTAACAGACTCTTACAAAGCCTTTTAGACATTTTATCTTTCATTTGTCAAGGAAAAAGACTTTCATTGTACCCTAGATATCAGGTTATTTTCATATGTACGAAGAAAAAACACTTGGCCTCGCGGGTTTTGGCGGAGTACATGAATATGTGGAGCATGGCACTAATGTGGACAATGACAATCCTATTCATTAATTCTATAGAGTAGGGCCTTTTTTGTTTGTTTATGTGGTTCATTGGTTGATATTTTCTAGCTTTTTATATCCACATTATTTGGAGCTTCGAATAAACTCAAGACTTCTTTTTTTTTAAGGCCTTGATGTTGGAGAGTATGTTATCTTTCGTTGTTTACGAAGTTGATGGCTTGTTTGATTCCCCGATGCAAATATATTTGACTGGAATAGGGATATTTAGGTTTAAGTTTGATTTTGAGTTAATATTAGAAAAACTCCTTAACTTTATATGAATATCAGAAAACCCCTCTTAACTTCCAAAGTATCAAAAAAATCCCCTTAAAGTATAGGGATTATCACAACCACCCCCCTCAAAAAAAAAAAGATTTTATTAAAAAATCTCATTTAACTTTCAAATCTTATCGGAAAACCCTCTAAATTTAGAGGGTTTTCTAATAAAATCTGAAAGTTAAAGGAAATTTTCTGATAACCCCTAAATGTAATGGGTATTTTTATATTTTGAAACTTAAGAGGACCTTCTAGTAATCGTCTTAGGTGTAATTATTTGATAAAATCTAAAAGTTAAAGAAGATTTTCTGATAACCCCTAAGTTTAATGGATTTTTTATATTTTTAAAAGTTAGGGGGTTCTAATAATCATCCAATAAGAGGCTTTTAATAATATTTATATTTTTTTAACATGTTCTCATACCGTTGCACAGTTACACTCATCACGAATCAAAATGCCAGAGGAAATGGACAAAACAAACATTTTCTAGAAGAGATAGAGAGAGAGAGACAGAGAAAGGACAGAGAAAATGGACAAAACAATCATTTTCTAGAAGAGACACAAAAGGAGGAGGTGGGGACAAAACAAACGTGAAAAAAATTGGACGAGGCACCATATGGGCCACAAGCACCAAAGAAACTCATGGTGGACACAAACACGTTCACGATAACTACATGGGGGCGTCGGCGGGGTTGGGAAGCAAATACCAAATAAACATGAAAATTTTGGACAAGGCACCATATGGGCCACAAATGCTTCGCACCAAAGAAACCCATGATCGACACAGACACGTTGTTCATGATAGCTACATGAGGGGCGTCGACGGGGTGGTGATGTAGAACACACGACAGACACGTTTATGTCAAAGTGGGACAGTCGCAAGACCAAATGCGGGCCCGGTCGAAGAAAATAACTTGTTTCGAAGAAATGACCATAACTTTCAAACCGTAGGTCGGAATTGGACGAATTATATATAAAAATTGACTATCTCAATAAGACGGAGCCATTCAAACCGACCTTTGAGGTGGTTTACTTCCTCCATTTCGCCAAATTCCTTACGGTTTGAGAGATATCTGTATTTTTGTTTGTTTTTTAGTAATGCTTTAGCAGTCTATTTTTATTAGGAAGCAAAGCCGATTTGATCTCAGATTTGACTGGTGGACATTCCTAGTCGTAAGGTGTCTTTTTAGGAGTTTTAATGTTTTAGGAATTCTTTTACTATTTTTGGTAAGTTAGAGTCCTTGTAGGAGTTTGAGTTGTAAAAGTCTTGTTTCTTTTCTATTTAAATAGGGTATTGTAAGCCCTAGAGGCATAACTTTTGATTAATAAAATTTTGTTTTTCTTTAATATTTACTTCGTGGATTCGAAACTCTTCATGGATTCGAAGATTGGCTTTAGTGGATTCCGAGGCTACAACTTCCGCGTTGCGTCAGGTGGGGAAGCAAATACCAAATAAACATGAAAAAAATTGGACGAGGCACCATATGGGCCACAAATGCTTCACACCAAAGAAACCCATGATCGACATAGGCACGTTGTTCAGCAAATACCAAATAAACATAAAAAAATTGGACGAGACACCATATGGGCCACAAATGCTTCGCACCAAAGAAACTCATGATCGACACAGACACGTTGTTCACGGTAGCTACATGGGTGTGCTTAGTCCATCTGCTCCATACAAGTAATTAATTATAATTTTTTGATCCCCTATGGAATCACTTCGTGGATTAAGCTCAATTAGTTAGCTATTATTTTTAGATTATCTAATCACCAATCTGACTGAAAGAACACTGTGAGGGTGAACATTGAACATGATGTTAGGAATTTAACGCCTAAACCCCTAATTGCAACGGAAACGCAGTATAGAAAAGTACACCAAGATTTAGTTTCTGATGATCTCTATATCTTTTTTTCTACAGGAGATGATAGTGAGTAGGTTTCATTTTTCTTAATTATAAGATAATTAATAATCAACGTGTGCAGCTTCATGCGTAACCAAATACTGTTTACTTGCCGGAGGTGTTCCTTCATCTCTATTTTTAACATCCAAGTCATTGGTAAAATTTATTTTGTATTTATTTTTATTTTGAGGAAATCTTTGGTAAATTCGATATTTATGCTGACATTTCTCTTTACCAATTCAAAACTACGCAAAACGTATACAGATCACAAAAAAGTTGTTTTATTATTGCCCGTATACGTAATAATAAATAAATAAATAAAAAGGTAATGTTTGAGCTATTGGATTTTTCCTTTCCATTACTAATGGCTCTGTCGGTTAAATAGTATTTGGGCAGGGCTTACACTGTCGATATGAGAGAGAATTTTCAGAGGAAAAAAAAACACCCTGTCGATATGAGAGAGAATTTTCAGAGGATAGCGAACTCACCAATTTACCCTTTTGCGAGATATTCGAATATCTTCGTGAACTAGCATAATACATTCGGGGTTTTCCATGAAAAACCACCTTAAAATATAACTTTTTATTTTAATTTATACATAAATCATTTTTAGAGTGGGTTTTTATTCTGATAAAAAATCACCGAACCAAATTTCCACTAAAAACTAAAAATAAACTTAAAATGCACGTTCAAAACACGTGACTTATAAAGTTCGAGCAGAATTGTTATGCGGAAAGCATTTGCGTAAAAATTGTGAAGACGTAGGGCTTGTATACTCTAAAGTTTTATAGATTGTAGTTAGTTACCAAAAATATTTTAAAACGTTGACTTAAATACCCTAAAGTTTTCCCTCTAATTGCTACTTCTACTATTGCTTGGAAAGATTAATTCCAAAATAACTTAAGAATTAAGGACCTAATAGCAATTTAAATACTTAGAATGACTAAATTCAAAATAATTTTAGATTTGAGGGACCTTATAACAATTGCAATAATTTAATGGAGTAATTTCAAAATATGAAAGATGTGAGGGATGGATACTAAAAAAAGGGCTAAAATACCAAATTGGTATATTTATACGAACACTTTTGCCAGTTTGGTATTTTTAAATACTCCGGCGACGACAAGGCATTAAAACTCGTACTTTTTGTCAATAAGGCACTTTTCTCAAAACTCCAGCAAGAAATTTTGCATTAAACCCCCTTATCTCCCAAATTTATTAAATTTGTGCTCTCTCTCCTCCTCCTCCTCCTCCTCT